TCTGAGTCATGTGGCAAGACATTGATAGGCCCGTTGACAGGAGATAAGGGAAAGAACTATGCCCCTCCTGGTTTCAGCAGCTTTTGAGGATAGGAATAGAATACCTCTTTATACTGTAACCTAGGACAAGCGGTCACCCCAGTGTCCGGCTGCTAGCAGCAGCAAAGCCCACCCAGCACCAGCACTGGCTGAGCTCCATGCCCAGGAGGAGCCGTGGATGCGCACGGTGTGGGCAGGCAGGAGCCAGGCAGGGGCTGCTGTTGAAATGGAGGTTTTGGGGTGTTCAGTTAGCAATATGAATTAAGCATTTAAATTTTAAATTGTAGAATTATGTGTTGAATTTGAACCTTTTACTTAAGAAACCTCTGCCATGGTACAAAGGGCATAGGAAAATGCAAATTTCTGAAGCTTCTTGCGATCAAGGACAATACCAGGAGAAGACCAGGGAATGCAACAAGCCTAGCTAAAGGAGCTCCTCTGTCTCCAAGCTGATCAAAACCGACAGACGTACTCACATAAGCACCAAGGGACCACAGCGCACGCGCAAAGGAGAAAAGTTCAGAAGTTCAGTCATGAGGAAGACCACAGCCTTCGGCCTCAGAGACCACCAAAGACCCCAGCGTGACCACCACAGGAAACAACGCACGGCCAGAAGGGCGGGGATCTAACTACCATGCGAGGCGAGGACAGGCGGGGCCGGGGGTTGAATGTGCATGAAGAGATTGTGTAATGTAATGCGTATGGAACATCTTCGTGAGCAAAGATGTGGCTCGGACCAGGGCTCGGGGCACAAGTTTTCACGAGAGCCATCTCGCTTGTGCCGGGCCCTGACATGCATACCCACTTCATAACTACACCAGGTTGTGGAGTGTCGCTATAGGACATGAAATAAAACAACGCAGACACGCAACGCTCCAAGGTTAAAAAGAGGGCAGTTTAATTTCTGACTCCAACATTTATAGATTTCCAAATGTGACAGTGGATTGGAGGGCGAAAGTGCCACCTCTCCAATGACACTGGACAATCCAACAGTCCATCAAATTTCTCCTCCCGAAGAAAAAAATGCAAAACAGTAAGTTATTTACATAAAGTGTGTGAAAAAGTTTGTTACAAGAATGTAAACATCAGAAGGCTTAGAAGAACTTTAAGAAACAGGCCGACAGTGGAGTCAGTTTATTCTGCATATCGCTTCACTGTGACCAGTGGCGGGTCCCTGGGGGGATGGGGCAGCCCATGCTGAGCGTCGTCCCTGGGCTGAGGCACATTTCCTTCTATGGGATCATCTGGGCCCAGACCTCCTCCAGTGGCATGCCCAGGAAAAGAGGGAAGCCATCAAGAGCGTCTCCAGGGACACAGCCTGACCAGCAATTTCACCAGGCAAAACAAAGCTCCTCCCTAATTAACACACACTTGATAGGACCTAACTGATGGACCATCACCAATCCAGGGTGCTGCACAGGCTCTGCTGCTCTCAGCGAGGGCCAGAAGGGAAGGACAGGGAAGGGCTGCGTGGCCTTGGGGTCCCACAGGGCTGGTGAACGGCCCCAGAGACACAACAACCCAGGTGCAACCAGACTTGATTTCCAGGTCGAAACATTCGGCATAGCCGGCCTGGACTTCCCCATAAGGCACGTGGGGGCTTTGGAGTCCCCCATAAGGTGCACAAGGGGCTGGGGTCCCTTGTGACATACACATTTTAGGTTTCTTGTGAGGCAAGGAGGGCACTGGGGTCCACTTCAAGTCATGCAAGGGATTTGGAATCCTGTGTGAGGCATGCAGGGGGCTTGGGATCTCTCCCAAGGTGTGCAGGGTGCTGGGCTTTCTGCTGAGGCACATGGCCGGGTTTTGGGTTCTCATTTCAGACGTAGAGAGGGCTGTGGACTCTCATAAGCGTGCAGGTGCTTTGCGTCCCTCCTGCTGCACGCAGTGGGGCTGGGGTTTCTGCCGAGGCACGCAGGGGACGGGGACCTCCGGCGGTCCCTGCCGGGCCCGTCCGGCTCCGGGCTGCCGTGGCCCGGGGGCAGCTGCCGTGCCGGCACGGCGTTGGCGAGGCGCCGAGGCGGAGCTGCCCCGCCGGGTCGCGCCGCACCGGCACGGCACGGGTGGTGCTGAGCGCCGGGCAGGCGGCACCGCGAGCCCAGGGGCTACAGCCCCGGCCCGGGCAGGGCCCTGGCGCCGCCCGCCCGGCTCTCCCGGCCTGTGGCCATCCCGGGCGGCAGGGGCTCGCTCTGGGCCGCGCTCTCCCCGGCCAGCGGGGCTCCGGGCGAGCACCCGGCTCCTGCCACTGCCCTGAGAACGCTGAGGGGCATTCGGGGCCGGAACTGAACTTGACAGGGAGACAACTCATAGGAGACTTGTTTTGGCCTTTTACAAGATTAACTGAGAAACAACGTAAAATCCCGGGCTAAATCGTGTGGTTTAACGCAAGGGGATTCCTTGGAGACCCTTCGTAACTCCCCGTGGGGCCGGGCCAGGCCGCGTCCCAGCAAGCACCAACACCCGGCTGCTCTGATCTATGCAGCACGGCTGGGACCAGGGAAACGAGTCAGTATCCCTACAGCTGCCCGCTCTGCCTGCAGGGCTGGCACGCAACAGCAGTGTTCCAGAAGGAACGGGCATTTTTACATCCTCAGGGCCGTGTGCTCTTTGGTCCTGGAGCAGAGAGAAAAGCCAAATGTGACAGACTAAACTTGCCTGTAGGAGAGGGATGCCTCTGAGGCATCAGCAGAGGGTCTGGGGACCTGTGGTGCCAGCCAGTGGCCCGGCACTCGGACACAGCAGGAAGACCCCAGACTATCACACTTCACCTGGCAGGGTAGAAAAGCCCGGGGTTCTTTGTTCAGGGTCCCCCAGAGGCACCAGCTCAAGCTGCCACTGTTCCACAGGGATTAAATTTTTTAAAGATCCAAACATCTGACACTCTGCTGTGGAGGACATTCCACATTTCTGATCTTTTGGGCATTTAGGAGCTTTTGATTTTGCTTTGCACCCAAGAAAAATAAACTCCCAACTGTGCACAAATAACTTCTTTAGCATGTCCTCCTTTTATTTTCAGCTGATTTTTCACTGTTCTCTGTTACCTTGTCCTCATCTTTCCAAAATTCCTGTGCTTATTCAAGTCCAGCCTGGGACGGTGCTCACATTTTCTTTACTTCTGTAGTAATTTATGCCCAGCGATCCTGCCAACGACACCCATTTCAATGTTGCAAAAACCTAACTCTGGGCTGCAGTATGTGAATCACACTCTGGTGTGTGAGATGGCAGAGCCCCAGAGCAGGCACTGAAGAAGAAGCATTTAGTAGATTAGAAGTTGGTATTTATTTGAGCCTGACTGCTGATGCTAACACAGAACTGCCTGTTGTGTTGCCTTGCCTCTTTGCAAAGCTGGATTTGTGTTTGTGATTCACATGTGATATTTTCGAGTGTGCCTATTTTAAGATGATTCTGCCGAAGTAGCTGTTTGAATTTGAATTTGATAGAAAATCATCCAACAGTTGAGGCATATATAAATTACCTGTATTTCAAACTGGTCTATTTTTAACTCTAAATGTTAGTCATTTACAGAAATTAATAAAAATATTTTGGAAAAGGATAGATTCTTGTTTAACTATTTAAATCATCAAACTTGATGAACCGCTCATTCTGCAAACTGGTATTCCAGTCCAGATCCTAAGGCTGGAATCCAAAACTGTGTTAGGATGATGGCCCAGCTGTTTCTGTTTTACTAGATAAAAATGCCTCGGCAAAGTGTATTGCAGCTCGTAAGGTTTTGTTTAATATTTTTTTAGTATGATTATATCACATTCTTCATGCAACTATTTGCTGGATGTAAGTATGGACAGAGTCATATCCTTATGAAAATTTCATGGTGAAGTGTTTTTTCACTTAAAGCAAGCTTAGCTTAGCTAATGAAGTAAAATTCTACTCTTATTCAAAGCACTGTAAATGCCTCAATCAATTTTCTATTAAAAACAGTTTGAAGCTTTCTCAGCCAAAAAAGCCTAAATTAGGGCTTGATGACTACTGCTCAACACAGTGCATTTCTCTCCTGCAACACCTTCTAGAAATACTTTGGTTATTATTTAAGAGATCTGAAGGAAAATACTATCTGCTGTCAATAACAGATCTCAAGATCTGTCAATCACTCCATTATTACTGTTGGTCTTACTTCAAAATTTCTGAAAGGAAAAGCAGTTTCACAGGTTCAGTCAATATTTATTTTCTGCAAAGTAAAATCAAATATCATTAATGTAAACATATATAATACATAAATATTAATCCATTAAACCTTTGGGGATCATGGCACTGAACTTATGGCAGTCATATAACTTGACAATAATGTTTCTTGACAAAAACAGAGGTTTCCAAATCAATAAACACATCTGAGAACTGGAGAACCCTTCACAACAAAAAAGAACAGTACCTGAAACAAAAAGCTACAGAGAATGGTCACATGGAGCTGTTCTTTAAAACTATGTAGACTGAACAACTGCCACTAAACCTCCCTCTAAAAAAATAAAATGATTTGTTAATAACTTCTATTACCTAAAGTTAAGTAGATCATGCCAAGTAGCACAAAATGCAGTAGCTGGAAAATGCAAAATAATTTGGTAGGCCCATCTAATTCTTCGGCAGAGCTGTGTAGAAATCAAGAAGGATTCTCTGTTCCTTCTTTAATCCTTTTCCTTTTTTCTTCCAGTGCTTGTTTAAATACAGTTTTCAAGGTATTGTAAACATATGGCCCATCCTCAGAATTGAAGCTTGTCTAATAAAAGAGAGAAGTTTCAGTACAGTTGTTAAAGAGATGCCATACAGCAAAATGCAAATTAGATGCACAACATTAAATTTTAAAAAAGCTTTGAGATTTATCAAAGAAAATACGTGTTTTTGATGGAGTGCTTAATGCTAAGTGTTTTCAGTTTTATGCTAACTAGACATTAAAATAAAAGAGAAGGAGAAATGTGGTGATTGTTTTAACAGGCAGATTTACAAGAGAAGAGGAAGCAGCATGGTGAACATTCTGTTCAAGCTCAGATTTCATTGACTGAATCTGAGAAGAAACGAGCTGAGCAATAGCTTCACCTGTTACTGAATGAGCCCAAAGCAGAAATTAGTTACTCGAATCCTGTGGTACAGGCCTGGAACAGAACTGACTTGCAGTGTAATTTCAGAAAATTATTTAATCTGAATCACAGGGTACAGAATCTACCAAAGCCTTTGGTAAGCTACTCTAGGTGATTAGTCAGTGTCACCCTGTAAAATTATCTTTTCCCTAATTTGAAGACGTCCATGAACTGGCAGTGGTCCAGAAAGAGAAAAATGAGACTCCAGGATTAAGGCTGTAGTGACAAAATTTAATTTTGTTGAGAACATTTCCAACCCTTTATGTATGTGATTATTATAAAACGTAAATTCTGAAATAAATAAATTTCACACTGAAGCATGAAGGAATTATTGTAGCCTTTCTCATGGAGGCCTCCCTCTGTTGACTGATTAACCCTTCATGATTTTAACCAAGTAAATACAATATCTTGGATAGTTATCTGGGATTACTTGCCTTGGTGAAAGCTTTAATAGCACGAGCAAGTACGGCCTCCTCCACGTCAGCTGGCAGCACTTGCAGTTTCACCACACAGTGTAAAATACAAAGGATGGTCTGACACTGCTCCTGGTGGAGAAAAGGAACAGCAGCTCATCAGAAGAAATATTTCCATAAAAAGCAGTTTAGCACTCAGATTTTGTTAACTGCTGTTTAAACACCAGGTTGTGCCTTCCTGTGCTGAAACCTTCATGTGCAGGAGTTGGTGGGGAATTCCCACCAGCCCAAAGAGCCTCTGCATAATTATTTCAGTCATGACAGGAAAACTCTTCTCCTGAGTGCCACAAACTACTCTGGGAATTCCTTGTTATTTCTGGGAATTTCAAGATTCCCTCCACGAACAGCAGCCTTCCTGTGAATTGGCACAGGAAAGGTGAGATTTGATCTTTTCAGCCCAAAATGCTGTGCATATTCAGGGCTTCTTTCCCCATCTTGTATCTCTCTCTGTCCTTCCAAGTCTCCGTCACCACTGGAAGCTGGCAGAGAGACACCTGAGCAGTGAGGAGGAAGAAAGGGAGGAACAATCTTTGTGGCTGTTCTTTCCCAACCCTTTTCCAGCTTAATTAAGGGGCTGGAGCATTTGTCACACAGGTAGCCTGCTCTAGGTAACTCTGTTTTGAGCAAGACACTTGGACTAGAAGATACCTAGAGATACCCAGACAAGTCACGTAATTTGATGCAGAATGAATTCTCATTCTGAATTTAAAAGAGAATGAAATGGCTTTTTTAAAGTGTAGCCCTTGCCTAAAGTGAAAGAATGAATTGTCAGATCCAATACGTACCTTTCTCAGCAAGTAGAGTGCATCCTGGGATTTTGTGCAGTTTTTTGCCAGCATGTCAATATCATCTTTGGATATAATAGGTTCTTTCAGCTGCTCTATCCATGACCACATCAAGCTGCAGAGGATAAAAGGATCTCTCTCGGTGCAGATTTTATCCCAAGCTCCATCTTGAGAATTCAGTTCTTTCTTAAAACAAAACAAAAACAAAAAACCCAAACAAAAACAAACAAACAAAAAACAACAAAAAAAAACAACAAAAAAAAACAAAACAAAAAAAAACTGAAAATGCATCATCTATACACCTTTGCCAACATTCCCCTTGATTGTAGCAGTATTTGGCTCTTATGTTCCAACAAGAAAAGAGTTATCCAAAAAAGTTGTATTTTTTTCCAGAGTATCAACATTAATCAGCAGTAATACAAGTGATTCATTCAAACAGAAGGATGGCAGCAGCAGGGCAGCTGAGAACCTCCCAGTACTCCACTGGAATACATAAACCAGCTTTGCATCACAACTTCAAAGCAAATTTTGCTAAGAGGATTTGGGTTTGACGATAAGCAATTAAGTTTCTACTAAATTCTTTTTCTTTTACTCACAAATCCTCTGATTAGTTCTGAGAAAACACTGATGAAAACCAACTCAGACCTTTAAACCTGTACTATTTCTGTGCCACCAGCAGCCAGAAATAATGGCATCAATTTCACCCAGTTAGGAAAGTGAACATAACCAGAACCTCCACCCTCCTGCTGTAGACCAGAACGTGTAGGTGTATCTTACCAGCCTGTGAAAGACCTGAACCCAGACCTCCTATAAACTGCTATCCCATTATGCCATTTCAAAGCTCCACATGGCATTTTTGCCATTCCAGGAATTCACTGAGGTGAAATATGCAGAGCCCATACCATGGATTTGAGTTAAAAATTACCTGCCACATTTCTACCTTCTGCTTCACTTCATCCTCTCCCAGAAATTCATTTATATCTGCAAGTGCTTTGGCTGCCAAAACTCTTCGGGCTTCCAAACTTAATTCTGACTGCAGAACAATGTGTGGAATTGTCTCTGACAGCTCTCTGCTACTCTCGCTTTCATATCCAATGGAAAAGTTCACTTTGGAAGAGGAAGAAGAAGAGTCAGAGTCCTCAGAGAGATAGACTCTCCTGCCATATATATTGGTCTTGTGGTCCTTCCTGTGAGCAGTCTCATTGGCAAAGCTGTGCCTTGGCATCCCAGGTTCCTTAGGATCGTGCATGGACGCGAGGTCTGAGGAAAAGGTCCTGCTGCGTTGTACTTCTTTGGTAGAGCTCTTTCTGTGATAGGAGCCATCCCTACGTCCATCCAAACTAAATCTCCCTTGACTCCAGAACATGCACGTGTTACGCACTAATGCTTCTTTGTTTAACTCCAGCTGTGGCTTTGCCTCACCTGTGGCAGAACATTCCTCCCCACTATTCTGCTTGGGTTTGTTGTTCACTAAGATCTGAGCAGGCACTGTCCAGGCAGTGTCATCCTGTTCCAAAAGAAACTCAGTTCTCCTTAGGTCTGACTCACTGTAGCTCAGACGCCTTCTCAGATGAGTAAGAGGCTGAAGGAATTCGACATTCCTTCTTTTACAGAAAGCGTCACATTCGTATCCCAGGGAGGAGTGTGAGTCCTGGCTGTCGAGAGCAGAGGAGTAGGTGTTGGACGAGTCCGACATGTCGCTGTCGTGCCTGGCCAGCTCCCGCTCGAGCTCCGTGGATGACAGCTGGGACACGGTCTTCTCAATCTCAGCTGAGAGGTCTGGGATGTCCAGCAGCTCTGCCTCTACCACCTGCCTGTTCTCAGCCAGGTCCAGCAGCAGCTTGCACACCAGGTGGATGAGTTTTGGCACATGCTTGAGGTGCCTGCTCTCGTAGCCGTGGAGCAGGTGCCTCTGGCGGGTCAGGTACTGGGACAGGGTGACCGCATGTGCCTTGGGCTCACAGCACGCGAAGACATTGCGGAGAGGGACCAGGAACTGGGAAAACTCCCTGACACACAGCAGCTGCCCCCGGGTCTGGATGGAATTGGGCCTTTTGGCTCTGACAAACAGAATCGCTTGGTCAGCACTCATTCTGGTGGCAAAAACTAAGTAGCAAGCTATTAGAACACCTGGAAAATAAAAAGACAGGATTAGTGAAGGAACTGTCAGACTCAAACAAATACTCAGTGGGAATATGGGATAGAAATTAATATAGGTGAAGACAGAGTGTTGTCTATTATGTGATGCTATTACTTAAATGTAATTTCCTGTGAAGAAGCACAAGACAGTGAAGCTCTGCTCACTGCACTGCAGTGGGAGCTCCCCATGGCCTCTCCAGGAGTTCCACCATTAACAAACATGGGAGCAATGGGGGCTTCTATGGGAAGGGCACAACCAAAAAGGACTTGAAAGAAGCCAGTGAAATTTTAGGTGCTCTACCAAATCTACCTGATCCAACAGAGAGTGGCAGGTTTGTGAACATGTTATAAATACTGGACAATTAAAGTGTACCAAGGGAATTTTTCCCCTCCAAAAGCAGCTGTCACATTTGAATGTAATGGAACAATTATACAGATTTTAAAATTCTCTATCTTACAGGTTTTTCATTTTAATATACTAAAACTGATCTTCTCTAGCTGTTGAGGACATTTGGACACAGTAGTTTGGCACTTCTAACCATTTTATAGAGGTCCATCTTGCAATGACACTGAATCTAGCCCAGTTATTACTGGTTTATAACCAGAGATGGAGTTTCTAGAGGAACCCTGGTGCTGCTCCTGCACGGGGCACATACCTGTCCTCCCAAGTCCTGCGTGGCAGTGAACAGCCACCCTCCCCTCCTGCAGGGCGAAAGACATCACCTTTACCATGTCAAGGATAGTCGTGAGAGATGCCACTCCGTAATCCTTCCATCCAAAATTATAAAAATAAACTGAAATAAAAAGAGAGACAGTGATTTTCTGCCACACCAAATGTGAAAGGTGTAGTTTGCAGAGGAGAAATTACACTGCGTAATGGACTTAAAATCTGACTACATCTTGCTTGCAAGAGATTATTTTCCCATTTCAGTGTATGCTTCCTATTAAAACTTGATAGATACATGAAGCTAGCAAAAATTTGTCAAACTCAAGTTTAGCTAGAATGTAAAAGAGGTAACAAAACAGTGATTCATCCAAAATTACTCAGCTATATATAGAAAGAGGGCAAGTTTTTCTTTTCAGAAATAAAAGCACTTCTTCAGTTAGCAGCTGCTTTTTACAGAGAGGCACTTTCTTTCTTCAGACCATAACACGAAAATACAAAAATACTGTCAGGAGCAGTGTCCTCACGTGGAATAACCTTTTATAGTCTAGGTAAGAAGACAAAAGTGTACCAGAATTTGTGAATACAGAAGAAAAAGAGAACTGTTGTCCTTCCTTTAGAACCACCTGAACACAAACCCTCCATCTCTCTCTGTATAATACACAATCTTCAATATTGTGTTATTGGCTCTTCATTGTATTTGCCAGGTTTCACGTTTTGTGCAATGTTTCCTACATAGCTGTGTTTAACTCACAGGAATTCAAGTAAAAATATCCTTAAATGCCAAAGTCAATAATTAATGAGGAACAACAGCAGGAAGGAACTTACTGCCAGCCTCCATAAAGGCTTCAGGAAGGTAGGTGAAGCCGCTCTCCTGCTCCAGGGGGTTCCCACAGCTCGCGTGCTCCCCAGGACGCTGAAGGTTAATTATGGTTTTTATGCCACATCTTAAGGAAGAAATAGATGAGTCAAAGTATTACAGGCAGCCAAAATCTCATTGTCCCTTATTTTCTGAAACATGTATTTATTCTTAGTGGAGAATAAATCTTTACCTGTAGAGTGTTAAAATGAAAGGATCTTTATCAACAATCCAAATCTATGTTGAAAGAGAAAATGGATCAGGAATTACACCAGCAATACTTACAATAAATAAATTGACTGAATTTGTTACCTTTCAAACTGCTCAATAATGTTGTACTTTTCAATTAATTCTGTTGAGGGTCGAGCCATAGCCAGGATGTTATCTGTTATCCTGAGAAATTACAAAAGTAAATAATAATGTTATCATTAGTATTTTCCTGGGTATGAGTCTTCCAAAATAAGAATACCATTATATTCAAGAAAGAAATACCTTGTTGATTAATTAGAAATTACTTTTAAAAATCCTACTATGCCACAGTGTTAGTGATAAATCCTATTAAACTGATACAGATGGAACATTATCGAAAGACAATTACTGGAACTGGTTAAATGCCAGGACATAAGTAAAAATTTCTTTGAATAGAAATCTGGACCCAGATCCCTGTCTGTCCCTTTAAGGTTTGCAAATGCTGCTTAAGCATTTGCTGTTAGAAAAAAAACAGTAAGAACATCAAGATACATTTAATGTGACTTTTGCTGCACATGAACATCCTTCTGAACAGACGCCCACATTATTTCATCTGCAGGAAATGCTTTTACTTTTCAATTTTATTATTAACATACTTAATTCATTTGCATCCTTATCCTTAGTAGCCCAGAACAGCTTTTTAATAATTCATGACAGACAGGTATTTATTCTTTTGGATGTGAACCAAACCCACTGTCAGCCAACAGGAACCTTTCACTGTTCTTTCCTGGGCTGTGTACGACAGCCACTACGTCAGGTTCTAATTCCAGATCAAATTCTCGTTATGTGTTGCACTTAGCAGCTGATTTTTAGAAAGCCCAGCTATTCTGCCGCGTTGAGCTGCTCACCAGGAGGAGTAGAGCCCCTTGATGGCCTGCTCGTGCTCGGCCCAGCGCGCGGGGTTCTCGTACTTGCAGGCGCGGCCGCCGCAGGCCATGGAGCACTGCATGTGCCCGGGGATGACGTGGCGCAGCCGCTCCCCCACCTTCGTGTACTTGGCCGTGGGGCGCCTCGAGCTCCCTGCGACACAGGCAGAGCCACGTTAGCCAGGAGCTCACTGAAAAATACCACTTCAGCCGTATGACAGAGTCACAAACACCAGAAATACACGCGATATGTATTTCAGGCTCTTTGTTCAAGGAAGGATTCTGAGGGGAAAAAAATTGCTTGCATTACTGACAGTTATTTTTTCTGATGAAGTTAGAGATTAGTGACATCCTTTACAGCTGAAAAAAGTCACAGTCCTCTTCAATCTGAAATCAATATAGTTAACCATGTCCTTGGAATATGCGTGAATATGTACTTCTGTTTTACCTGTTGTTTATAACTGAGCTGTTAGAGTAAAAAGCATGTATCAACGCCTGAATAAGGAATCAGTGAACAAAAGAGAATATACAAAATACAAGAAAATTAAACCCCACTATTTTATCCACACATAAAAAGTACAGTTAACAGAACAAAAGTATAGTAATACCGAGAAAATACCCAGAACTGCCAACAGTCTCAATGAAAAGTACTTTACTTTTTTTTTCAGGAAAAGTTGCATCTAGCTCCTCGGGGCTGAGCGACGACAGAGCCACCATGACCCGGTGCGTGGACGAGGAGAGCAGCTCCACCACGGAGCTGCGGCGCCGCTGGCTGAGGCGGAGAAGGGGATCGGAGGAGGAATGCCTCCGCCCCTGGAAGAAATGGCTAAAGATGCTGACGGCCGAGCGCCTGCGGGGGGAAGGCTGCATGGCTGCGCGGCCCCAGCTCCGCCCGGCGCCGCTGCCCGGGGCACTCTGAGCGCAAGGGAAGTTGCTCAGAGCTGAAGTTGCGGGAGCGGAGCGGAGCATCCCCGAGCACGCTCGGCAGCTGGTCCCCGGGGCTGAGCTGTCACCATGGTAACGGAGGATGCAGGCGCTGCTGCCAGCCAGCCCCGGGCTGCTCCTTTCCACAGGGATTGCGTCTGCTCGGGACAAACTGTTCCACCGCTTGATGAAAATAGTTGCTTGTCAAGTAGGTAATTTTCAAAACGCGCTGGGAACAACCAAAATGTTTGTCATAAACAATGGGAGTATTTAGTTCCTGCTCAATAATAGGCATTCAGAACTCGCTAAGACACAAAATACTCCATTCAACAGAACAATCAAAATGTAGCTGGAGGCTCTGCCTCCTGAGAGATCTGTAAGGAAGGACATTATACTCCCCCACCTCTTGGTTCTTCATTCCACAGCCACCTCTCCTCCTCCACTTCGCTGCTCCAAAATGCATCATTAGCTGTGTAATGACTGGGATTAGTGTGTTCCTGCTGAAATGCTTCAGTACATGATGAATTGTAGACTGTTTGCCTGGACCATTCACATCTTCTAACAAAACGCAATTTGTTATCCAAAACAAAAGACTGGGATTTTTTTTTCCAGGGCACAGCTTTTTCATGAAGCAAAGCTGTTAACCCTGCAGCCTGACAGAAAGCAGATCACGAGGAGGAGAAGGTGTGTCAGCTGAGTGCTTCAGGCTTCTGAAGGTAGGTATGAGGTGGCAAATTGCCTCCCACTTTGCTTCCAGTGTGCTGAGCAGGAGAATGAGGTGGCCAGAAAGATTGCAGCACTTGAAAAAGCTACTGTGCACAGAATGGATTATAGAGAGGTAAAAAGCCTCTGTCATCCCAATATCTGTGCATCAGACTGCACTGAAAGGGGAAGGCTGGGAAAATCAAGAAAATTCACTTTAATTTGTCAATAAACAAATTAATCCCATTGCATTTTCCTAAAACACATTTGTGTTTCTTCTTGTACCACAAAACCAGTAACTTGTACAGAGGAATTTGCATAAGAGGAAGTTCCCTTTTGTGACAAATTCACCAGGCAAAAATCTGCTTCTTCCAGGCACTGATCAGGAACTGAGGGCCTGAACTTTGACTGCTGCTCCCCAGCTCTTACAGAGACATGGCAATGTTTGCTGTGGGTACCAGGCCTGAAATATCAGCAGTGATGTTGTGTGAGGAAAGGAATATGTGCAAAACCTTGACTCGTCATTCATCAGTGGAGCTGTTATCAACAGGTGAGGAAACATGTAAATATGCTTTTATTTTGGGGGTTGTGTGAAAGAGAAAGGAAATGAAAAAGGCTATATGCTACCTGTATTGAAGGAATGTGAAAAATATTTTCTAATTAACTACCTTACTTTCTTGTATTTAATTATTTTTCTCTTTCTCTTCCCAGAAACTTTTCAGTATATATCAAATGATAGTGGAGACAGAAGCGAGGAAGATAAAATGCTCAACATCATTATTTTCCTACTGAATCTAGCAGCTTTGCAAACAGTCAAAATGGTAAGAAAGAATTGCATCCTGTACAACTTTAAATAATTTGAAAATTGCATAGTTTCTTCTATTAAGAGATCTGACAAAATGAAAATTACAGAAAAGATCAACACATTATGACCATGATATGTTGATGAAATAATGCAGTTTGGTTTTGTTAGAGACATTTTAAATTTATAAACATGGATAATATTTCTGGGTTTTTAAAAATTTTGTAGGTTTTTTTTTTTTTACCCAGAATTGTTCTAAGCATTTATTATGAATGGCATATCAGAGCCAAATTCTTACCTGAACTCATATTTGCCAGATACACACTGCTCTCTATCAGTGAGGAGTATGGTTGCTCATTTTGCAGCAAAACTCCCGCAGCCATTGCAGTACCTGTTGGAGCAATAAAATAATCACTGAAAACCTACAAGAGAAGCTCAAAAAAGGTAGAATAAAGCCACATGCTCCTGGTCATGGAGTCATTGAAGATTTGGGTAGTCAGGTATGGGCTGGTACTTGACAGACAGATTGTCTACAATCCACGGCCCTTGCTGCTCTCTTCCCTGCACTCTTGGGCTTTGGAATCACATCTGCCATGATTCTCCTCAAACAGGAAAACTGAACCCATGACTCTCTCCAGGCAGCAACAGATTTTTTCTCTACTGTTACTTCTAATACAAGGTAGGTCCTGCTCTGATGGCCTTCTATCCAACAGAAAGATAAAGCAAGCTGTAAATATGAACACAGGAATCAGTCTGTGATATTTAAAGAAACGCTGTGCAGGCTCTTGAGTGGAAATTCTTACTTAGTATAAGATCACCCTTCTGTTTCTCTTATCTCTATAGGAAAATAGCTGCAAGCATAACAAAAAAGAGCAATGTTTATACCAAACTAAGCACATCTCTGCTGTATCATTAACTACAGAAACTTTGCTAAATAGACAAACCTTGGGTTCCCAAGTCTGCAAAACCAGTATTAGGATTCAGCAGCATAAATAAGGTTTTAAAATACACATTTGCTAAAAAAATAAATATAAAAATAGAAGAGTCCTGTGAGGATTAGGTGATACAACCGGCCTGTGTGGTGCTAACTGCTTACTGTTCAGTGCTCAGCTTTTATCTCTAGTTCTGCATAATTATTTTTGTAGCAAATATTTAAATAAAATTTATTCATTCAGATATTACATTATCTACCACATACTTGAATAAATTATTCTTCCAACAATGCTAATGGACTTTATTCCACAAAGTCAGCCAGTGCAGCTCTGTTCTTTTCAAGATGCTTAATGGTGGGAACAGATCACAGATCCACATTAAGAACCCTTTCACAGAGCTGCACTACTCCTCTCGAAGGGATGAGAATTACATTTGTTAGTGAAAGACAAAAAGCCTTCTGAAACTTCAGAGGTGCTTAGAAATGCATCTCTAATGTAAGTACGTTAAGAAGAATATGAATCAGGAATACTCTTTAATAAAAATTAAAAGAGTATCTGGAGCATTTTCTACTCAGCTACTTGACCATCTCACTCTGTATTCTGAAAAGTCAATCCTTTAATAAAGTACCTTCATATAATTGCATTCTATTTTGAGAAGTTCCAGAACCTCTATTTTTTTTTCAATGGATTTTGAAATCAGTAAGTGATGGCTTCCATTATCAGAGGAAACTTTGAACCTAAAGAAAGAACTTCATTTTATCCCCAGAATTTCTTTTTTAGAGTTAACAATGCTGAATTAACAAAAATTATTGGTTTCTATTTCTCAGAAAGTTCTCTTCAGAATTCTTAATAGCTTGTCCAGATAACAGTTGAAAAACATATCTCATCATCCTGGCAGCAGAATCACCACAATGACTATTTAGCTCTCCTATTTCCTTGTACTCAAGTGATAAAAAATAAATAAAATAATAAAAAAAAAATTAAATTAGGGGGATATATATTTCTATCTAAAATTTTTTTCCTTTTTTTTTTTTTTTTTTTCTTTCTTTTCCCAGGAATCAGGCTGATAAGAGCTCTTAACTGGAAAGGGATGAGATGGGGGTTAATGCAGAAGAGAATATACCTAGAGTATGACAAAATATTAGCAAGATTCTTCTAAGCTGCAGTGCAGAGGTGAGCTCTGTGTTTCTTTGTTGTCTAACCAATTTTCTTTCACTTTTACACCAAATCCATAATTCCTGTGCTGCCCAACTGACCTGAACATTTTGTCTGTGCCTTTCAGTTTGCAAAACTTGACTGACAGCTCAGTGTGATGAATGGGAGCAATTCCCTTATATTTACTTCTGAAGAAAAAGTTAGTAATATTGTGACAAATTACTATGCTGAGTTACACTGCACTCCCTCAGAGAGGTGTAAGGTGGTAATTTGGGACAGGTCAGTGCTGATGTCCCTACAGAGGGGCATTACGTTCCTGCACCAGTAAAAAGGATGATAGAAGTAAAAATAGTGCTTAGGTTAAAGCAGCGCTCTCTCCTGCTTTGCTTTTGTACCAGATATTCTTGGTTTTTAAAGACGTTCTTCAGCATTTTGCACATCTCGAGAACGCTCGGTAGCTGCCGAAGGCGCAGCCTGGAGCGCTGTTCCAGGCCGCAGTGGCATGAGCTGCCTGAGGATCTGAGTCACGTACCTTGGGGCAATCACGATATCGCCTTAATCAGCCCTGCTGCTTGATCTCTGCCGTGCATCCCTATTGCCATGACAGCAAAGAGGCTGGCCCTCAATCCCGCCTCCCTGAACGAGTGAGAGGAACGGTATCTCCTGCGGTAGAGTCCCGTCTCTGTCCGGTCCCTGAGTGAAAGGAACGGTATCTCCTGCGGTGCAGTTCCACCTCTGTTCCAGCACAGGCAGCGGAGCGGGAACACCCGGCTCCTTACACCACACTGCAGGAAATGTGCCTGTGCTGTCGGCTGGCAGAAGGCAAGAGCAGGACCACGCTGCCCAAGGAATCTCTTGGCATCCTCATGCCAAGCACTCTGGGTATTTCAAGAGGTCCCCTCCAGGTGTGGGTTTGATATGTGCTTTGATGTTTGTATGCAGTTCTGAGTTGCCTTTTCTTTCCCCCCACTTTTGAGCTGAACAATTTCTACCAGAAGGGATTTTTGTCTCCTGTTGCAATGGATTCACGTGTTGCATTTGGAAACACGACAGCTGTCATGCCCCACTCGCTGCTGCACACGTGCAGGGGTGCATTTCCTGCAGAGGATGCAGTGTGGGCACCTCGTGCCGCTGCGGATGAGATCGCTCCCAGCATCCACCTTCTCCTCAACAGTGAAGCCCCTTGCCCACGGGCATTTCCTCTGGAATAAAGGCCCTGCTCTTTGTAAGGTCACAGGGGAGCAGCAGGGTGCCACACAGGCAGCAGGACAGCTGGGACAGCGGGGATCCCACGGAGCAGGTCCATGCTCCTTCCAAAGGCCACCTTCCACAGGCAGCATCCCTCACTGGCTCTCAGGAGCTGGCTGCAGGATGGACCCAGCAAACCAGCAGTGGGCTTTGCAAATGAACAACTCTGCTTTGTCATAAAAAAACACTCCTTTCTGGTATTTCAGGATCTGGAAACCAGCAGCTTCCAGCGGCTGGGCTGAATTTTTGCTCCAGACTGAAATGAGAGGAGCAATGTCCATTATTGCAGCAGCCAGAAAACAATTATACAGTCAAAAAGTGAGGAGAGAAGATGCTGATCTCACTATGTTGGCAATGAGGATGGTTATTTAATAAATGCAATAGCTACCTTTTACTTCAGAACACACTTTCAAACAGAGAGAAGAGCTTGCATTCCCAGCTGGAAGGATTCCAGTTAGGGCAGTGTAGCTGCAGTAATCCCATTGTAAGGTTCCCCACTGCGCCCCTGTGCACCTATCCACGAATAGTGAGGCCCAGATCTTTAATTCCTGTGGCTTTGGCAAACAAGGATGTCACAGCAGACCACACACTTTAAAAGATTACTTGTATGTATTAACATGAAAAAAATTTAGTAAGTTTTCCATTTAAAATATCAATATATGGGAAAAATTATTTTAAACCTCAAATATATTCATACAATAAAGGCAATGCTGATGCTTAGGCCTGTCACATGAAATTCTGAGATTATTTTTACTGTTTTATTATCTTCTAAAGTGAATTTGTTCTCTCCCTGTTGCAGTCACCTGTAAGTGACTACCTAGCAGACAAATTTTTAAAGGAACTTAGTATCTCGCTGCAGGTAGGGGTGAGGGTAGCCTAGTACCTAAGCACTTGGCTGACACCTTTAAAATTTCCTGTGGCCTAATTCTGCAAGTACTTGAGAAGCTTTGCTTTTGTGAGCAGTCCCACAGAAGCCAACGGAATGTCTAAATATAGGATCACGCGAGATAAAGTTTCACTGCCAAAATGCAAAATCCTGTAAACAACACTAATGGAGATGTTTCAGGCAGATGACTAAAGATAACGCTGATGATTAAGACTAAGTAAAAATAGAATAGTGTAGTGAGGACTGGGTATATTTAATGAAATGGTTAAGAGCTACTGAATTATAACCTTGTCTCTCAATTCAGGCTTTGAATCTGATGCTTTAATATTGGCAGATCATGAGAGTTTCTAGCAAAAAATTTTCTAAATTGGCTGAGACGTGGTTAGTCACTGGTACAGGAAGAACTGTTAAATGAAAATGCATTTTAAATTACCACAGACTATCTAATTTTAACATTGCCAGGAATAACAAAGCATTTCTAAAGGTTTGTAAAAAAATTATGATAACTGAGGGTTTTGCTAAACTTGATTATTATGATTAATGAAACATGATGCAAAGGTTGTTGTGCTAATGCCTGTACAAGGGAAAAAGCTCACTGGGAACAGGTATTTCATGAATGCTTAAGCTACAATTTAACCATGGTCTGGAAGGCAGTTTTAGCACTGAACACACATCTTCCAGTAGGCACACACCTCAATTCCCAAGGTGCTTTAAAAAGCTCAATTATTTGAAATTTGAAACATTTACCACCTGTAAGCAAACACCAAAATACTGTAAAAGCAAATAAACACATGGATAAAGGACAGAGAGAAGACTAGGTAAAATTGTAAACAAATTTTCATATAGTTAGTTTAGTTATACATACTTACACAGCAGGCTGATACTACAGCTGCTGTGAAACTCCAGGGGTTTCACACTGGAACCACAACCAAAACAGATTTGTTATTTCTACATGTCTTTTACCCTCTTTGGGAAAAAATATTCCCCACCTGTCTTAGTAAAAGATGAATGTCGTTTAATCATCAAGTTTGATGTTTACAAAGGACTCTAACCTCTTTCATGTACAAAAGATACAAGAGAATATAATTCATTAAAAGATTATGTAGGTGCTGATTTGGTGATTCAGTCTTTGCTGTTCATAGATTCTTGACATAAATAGCAAGAAACTGCAAGCTAAACTGGTGGACAAGTCTCTCAATTGACTTGAGCCATGTTATTTAAATCACCTCTTTCTGTGGCAGTGCTAACCTAATGGTTAACAGAAGGTATTTTAAACTACCTTGAACAGGCTGGCAGGCAGTAATTACTAGATTCATCAAGGAGATGGCGTAAGTGAATATATTAACTGTTCTACAAACAAAAATACTGGCTCTGAGACCCTTGATCATGAACATCATGTTTATCAAGAGACTCTCAGACTCATCACACTGACTACACGCAGAAGAATGAAATACTGTCAGTAATTGTCAGCATTCTGACAGCACTCAAGTGCAAGTTCAAAAATTAACTCTGCAAGTTAGAGGATTTTTACATCTAATATAGTCAAAACCATAGTAAATTTACATGAGTTTTAATAGTTTCAGTAATTTCGGTGTAACACCTTACCTGTTACCCTGCAAAAAGAATGAGTGAGCGCTGATCCCTTCATTGCTGCAGTATCAGCCACAAGAAACACGCTGCAGGGCAATCACGTTTTACAGAGAAGCTGAATGAATTCCCCTGGTGTTTCCTGTGGCTAATCGGATCGGGGATGGTAATCTGGGAGGAGCCAGCAACGATCTTTTCTTAACCTAAACGGTGCGGGGAGTGCCTCGGGGACTATGCAGATAATCATCCCTGAACTGCTTTCTGCGTCTGCCCGGCCTTTAAAGGGATTGAGGCAAACAGGCCGCAGCAGCCTCATGTTCTAATAACTGACTCTCCCAGCTTTGCTCTTCCTGTTCACCTCATTTCCTATTAGCAACAAGTGACCAGGTATTTATTTGTGTGTGTCTACATGCACAACACAAACAAACACAGAGCCCCAGAGAGAATTTTGTGAAGTGAGATTAATTACAGTTAAACTGATACATTGGTTTTGAAATGCCACGAAAAGAGAATTAGATAGAAATGTTCCATTGTTATCTGGGCCTATCATTGTTATCTGCATGAAACATTTCTTCTTACCCAGTAAAAACACAGAATGTCACTGAAGTATTTTTAGCAAGTATAAATTAACTGCATTAAAAGTATTGTCTCAAAATGGTAACAAAAATAAGTTCATATAAATATAATCAACTGTGATCAACTAAAAATGTAATCAACTACAGCCCAAAGATTTTGTTGATTTAACTAAATACTAGATAAATAAAAAATGTAAATAAAATAGGATACAATATCTTATTCTATCTTAAAAATAGATTTATCTCAAAATCAATTTCAAGCACTAATTAGTAACTAATGAAAAAAAGGGCTTTCATCTATTCCCATCACTTCCCTGCATGTCTTGTTCAAAAATCCCTTCCATTAATGAAGCTAGGGATTAAGTAAAAAAACCTAACAATTATTAAGTAACAAAGTATACTTAAAATTAATTAAATTGATCTGTTCTGTGATTCTAAGTTTGTGGGGAAAAAAAAAAATGGGACTTCAAAAGATTTGTACACAATTTGGGAAAAGCTACTAAGGTACCTTGGCTACTTAAAAACCTGAACAGATTGTAGAGCCTAAAACCCTCTTTTGCACATCATTCTTTAGTGTGTTGGTAGAAGTTTCAACCACAAAGGGGCCAAGCAGCCACAGCTTCCCCAGCAGGAGCTTTAGAAGCCCCAAAAATTAACCCATGTGGGTTCCCAGAGTGCCAAGAGCTGGTGTCCAGTGGCACTGCAGCAGCCCTGCCCAGGCCAGGGGACACGCACACCTGGGTGGTGGTGAAAGCAGAGGCCCAGCAGAACAGTGAAGACTTCCTGGGAATGACAGACCTGCAGCAGGAATCTGTATTGGAAATGTGGGGTAGAAAGAATCAGAGGTCAGCTAGAATGAAATATAAATTGTACAGTGAAATAAACCTGCTCTTTGCATTTCAGCTGTGGTTTGAGGGTTGCCCTTGGTTACGGGTCTGGGTCAATTGACACAACAGGAACAGCCCCATGGCAGCACTCCTTGGTTTCACATTGTTCACTCACTACAGAAGTGGCTCTAGAAATCTGAATCTGTGAATTATGAGTAAAGGGATACATGTATTTTCCAAGTGTCAGCTCACTAAAATGTGTTAACAAATGGAGCATCTGGCAAAACATTTTGTAGGAGGAGCTGGAGGAAGCTGGCATCATTTTAGTTGACTAAAGAACAAAGAGGAGCTTCAGATAACTAATAAATATTAATTAAATTCTTAATATAAGCATACTCTTTGGGGGAAGTTCTGAATGTTCACATTTGAGAAGCTGTCACTGACATACCTAAGTTTTATTTCCATGTGGGTAATATAACACTATTTACCTATTTGATTCTAGAGGGGGGTTAATCCTTGGAGGGTTTGGATTCCTGGTGCAAAAGCCTCTGCTCTGCTGTCTCCACTTGTAGGTGTCAGAGTTTTGCTGGCTACCCCTTTATCTGTTCCTACATTTGTATTCCTCACTATTAATGACACTTTGTTCAGCTGAGGAACTAATTTTTTCTAGTGTTCTGCAGAGTTTGGCTAATTCCAGGCACCAGTGCCAAATGTATTTGCTCAAACAGGACGTGCCACTGTACTTGAGGCAAGGCAAGACAAGGCTTTGTGCTAACTGAGGGTGACTTTTTGGAAAATTAACCAACAGGCTGAAATAATTTGCC